GTTATCCAAATTGGCATAGAATAAAATCCTATTACTACATCAACCTTTAGACTATCTGAATGTAACTGTTACTGACGTCTCTTACTTCTCTACACTTAACAGTTAGCGAATGAAATAGAAATTAACGATCACCTGAAAAAAAAACAGATTTGTTCACTGACAGAAGTATGTAACTGCTATGTAGAGTTAATCTAATACGAGAACTCCACTTACAAGGAGGGTAAGTAATTCGGAGTCAATACTTGACTGGGTATGCCTAGTTAGTTTGTTTCGCCAAACCTAACGAAGTTACCACCAAGCATTGAATATATTTTGAACTGTCAGTTATTGAAGTACTGTCTACTAAAAATGTCGGGAAACATTTTTAATAGAAGTTCGCTTGAACCTAGGTACTACGTCAGGTGAGTCGAATGTACAATATCGCAAAATGTTCTCAATTAAAAAACTAAAGTATATCATTATTCATTGAAACTAGTAATTGATTACCTAATCATCAGTGCTCGCAATCTCAATCATATAGGTGTGACTGTGAACAGTTTTTTATCAGTGCATTGTAATTGAGAATCATTTCACTTGTCGTAAAGTGTAACCCCAAAAGTCAAATAACTTCCGTGTAACAGTTTTTATGACAAATAGAATTCGTATAGTGTTACATGTCTATAGTGTTCATTAAGATCCTTGTCTGCTTCCAGGTCGATTAGTCTCATTTAGGAATCATGGTTAAGCGCCTTAATGTCAAAGAAAATCTAAAAATCAACAGTTCTAAATTTGCTTAAAATCCTAAGAAATGTCTAGTACGTTTTGAAAATTTGTTATTGATCGTTTAAGTCATTTGTGTAAATAATATCAAGTGATGAGTGTAGTTTAGTCTTTCAACTTCCTTAAACAACCAATGGATTATGGTTCTATTCCGAATTCCATAATTCTTTAATATAAAGTGTTTAGTTTCTTTAAATAGGCTTCAAATCATTTCTCTTTTTAGTGGTTTTATGCACATTTCACTGACAGATCACATTCACCGACAGACTGTAATTTCCCCATCATTAATATACAAATACAGTTCTTTCAGATGTGCTCCATATTAATATCTCATTATATTAAACAAGATGATATTTAAAAATAGATTGACCTACGCATGGAAAAGATAAAACTGGGCGTGGCACATTGTGTAGTCTAGACATGACACATAAAATCCAGTATATTGTTGAAGTAATATTGTAATTCGGTTAAAGGTAACAAATACATAGATACCTGTGTAAAAAAACAAACAGTCACTTTATTTCTTCTCTTTTATTGAATTCATTTCATAGTTAAAATCTATTTTTAAAAAGCAACTCATATTTCTAATTTTATTTCATTCAATAAAAGAAAAAAAACGTTTACTCTTTTATCACTGTGTAAAAAATTGAATATTTATAACTTGAAGTTAAACAGGATGGTGAATTAACATGAAAATTTAACTAAAACAATGGCGAAAAACTATAGAATTTTGAACACAATTCATTTTAAAGAAGAACATGTGGATTTTCATCGACTGAAAGGATAATATCTTATCTTGTTATTTATTATCATCCTAGTAATCCAGAATAGATCGTTGAATGAATATATGAATACATATATGAAGTGCGGAAAAAAATTAATCACTAGTGTCTGACTGTAAGGAGTGTTTCCTTGAGTTCTAGTGGGAAGCAATGACCAGTGGAGTTCAACCAGGTCTGTTGTAAAGATATCAAGTCATTGAAGACAATTGGTGAACGGTTGCACAGATTTCGTGGATTGATTGAAGTTAGACATTAACACCGTTGGGTGCCGGTCAGCTCAGTGGTCTATCGGTTAAATGCTCTGGAGCGAGACTGATAGGTCCTGGGTTCGAGTCTGGCGAGGCGGGATCATGGATGCGCACTGCTGAGGAGTTCCATTGTAGGACGAAATGGCCGTCCAGTGCTTCCAGGCTTTCCATGGTGGTTCAGCTTCAATTGGCTCATAATTTCAATTATGAAAAAAAATTAATTTTCTAAATTTTTGAATAATCTATTCAAAAGCTGTCGTCATCTCCAATAAATTCTAGGTCATTCACTAACGTCATTTTTAATTAATAACCTGTCAAAATCCTACCAGTAATCATGTGAAAGTTAAGTATTATTTTTCTGCCAAAAAATATCATTTGAAACGGATGTATAAGAATCTTTGTCTTCACCAGTTTATTCAAATTTAGTCTGCTCTAATTTCTCTTTAATTCACTTCATAATTTAGTTGAATTCAATTCTCCTAGTTTGTTGATGATAATACTCAAGTAGTGTTTGAATTAAAGTCTGTTGTTGAGTTCCTATGCCAACAAATAATACTAGTATAGTTGATTAATATTGTCTGTTGTAAGATAGTGACTCATTGAACACAATGGCGGATGTGTCGCTCAATTTCATGAATCAGTTGAAGTTAAACAATAACACCGTTGGATGCCGGCCAGCCCAGTGGTCTAGAGGTCAAACGCTCGTGTGCGAGACTGATAGGTCCTGTGTTCGAATCTCGCGAGGCGGGATCATGGATGCGCACTGCTGAGGAGTCCCGCAATAAAACGAAACGGCCTTCTGGTGATTCTAGTATATTTGTTCACTTGTCAACTGCAGTATTACCGTTGATCAAATTATACTTAATTTATTTTAAATCTACATGAGTATTAATAATAAACATATATATTTTTTGTTACATCCTAATTGGTAGAAAATTGTATTTCTGATGTTTCGTGACTTAGTGAAAGTCTGTTTAAATATTACTATTTAAACTTATGTTAGTTTAATTCGATTATTTATTTATTCTGAAGAAGTGGATTGCATTAAGTCAGGAAACGACAGAAAAACTATTTCTACTAATAGGGATGCAACAAAAATATCTATTTATTATTAACATTCAACCTAATGTTCAATTTATTTGAAACTATCAAATCCAACCTTGCATTGATACCTACTTAAGTATTGATAAGAAGCGACTGAATTAAATATGACAGCTTAAAGCTGTGAGCAGATAAAATGTAATTTTTTATTCTTTAATGTTTGGATTTAATACGGTTTGAATAATGCTATTGAATAGTTCATTACAATCAACATGAATCATTGTACATCAAGAGTTCTATTTTCATAGAATATTTTTTTCAGGGGAATATTCCAGTCATAGATCAGATGATTTCTTATGATATTCTTATGGTTTAATAAAACTTAAGTAACTTGCGTTGTTCATTGAAACAAAAATATTTTTTTCGATGAAGCTACTGAGAAAATTCAACAGTAATGTATGTTGGAAGTAAACATGCTTGGAAGTAAAGAAAAGTGTGTATGACTGCAATAAATCCAATGATCCCCTATATAATAACATCCGCATCAATTTACGATTTGGGTGAAAAATTAACCACTTCGATATTAAGGATGTATGACACATCCGAATAGATATTGTTGAATTGGTTATGAGAACTATTCTATGGATATTTATATATATTTTTTCAGGTTTCCCAACCTGTAGGTGTCATGAAACAACTTTGAAGTATGAATAATAAGCTAAATGAAAAGATAATTCATTCTAAGAGGTATCATATGACTGTAATCTTATATTCCATGTAAAAGTTTTATCCCTGAGAATTTTATTTCAGTATGAACAGCTGACGAAGAACATGTAAAATCAAACCATCTCACCTTAATATCTGGAATATCTACATGTTACATTATTCAAAATGTTTTAAACGATTTACGTAAAGTCATATTTGGGTTAAGTTAAAAAGTTGACCCGATTGGATGATGAGTTTGTGAAAAAAGGCCTTTTAATCAAATGAAATTCCATATTTGTGTATTTACAACTTAAATTAATTAATTTGATTTCCATTTGGGATTTTTATTGGATTGAGATAAATGGAATTTTCGAAAAGACTGTCACCACGAGAATTTCATCTAATTATAATTACTAGTCAAAAACTGAATCAATAAGATTTTATCACTTGAGACAGAACACATAATGAACCAGTAAGTTATGCAATAAAATACCAAATGAAGAAATGATGTATGATATAAAATACTAAAGTAGTGTATTCAAATATTAATATTTCTAGATAATAATTAACAGTTTAAATAATGATGGACTTAGTGTTGTGTTCTAAACTAATCAGACTGAAATTACTAATCGTGGATCCGTCTGTTCTGAGACGGTGGAGAAGATTTGTAGATCAGGTGGATGATTTTGATGGAGCTTTGTTCTCTGAGCTGGATGGTTTAATCAACAAGAACCAATCAACATCGAGGTCTACAGAACAAGCTGTGAGCCAAATGTGAAGAAATTTGAACAGTTTACTTCTACCTGAAGTCTGTTCCGATGGTGTCGTTCAGAATAACAATGAAAGCTTCACGACCAAACCATCCAGTTTAGAGAACAAAACTCTATTAAAAACTCGTCTTTTCGCTACAATCGATGGTAGCATAGAGAAATTGATAAAATAAGAATATTTACCAAAAAAATCACTCAAATTTAATCTGATAAATGAATAAAAGAGATCTTTTTAAAGCTAAAATATGAATGATCTTTATGTCAACAGTATTTTACTATATATACAAAGAACATACTGATTATATAGTTTCAAACATTCTTTATATATTTTTATTCGATAAATTTATCGGTATAATTCGTTTTAATCAACTTGTATCATAATTATTTTGTGAAATTTTCTTCTGAAGACTTTAGAAGAGCTCCACTTTTTACATCAACCAACTAAATGTCCTAGATTGAACATCAACTCTGAGATGCAGATACATTCAGCTGACGAGTCCCAAATAGGACGAAACGCGCGTCTTGAATTCCACTTCTAGCTACTATCCATCTTTCCTTATAGCAGTAACATATAGTCTAGATTATATTTAGTCTGTGTCTAGATATTTTCATTGAAGTTAACATATGATTGGTTGATATTTAACCAATCAGAATGATTTCGAAGCTGATTAGGTAAAATTCATAGTTTTGTAGTTAGTAAATCTAGCTGATATTCATTTATTTGGCATTGGATTATAGGTGCAGTTGTTTACATTTATTAATCTTAGCATCACGTGATATTTCTAACATATTTTTTCCCTATAACTAATCATTTCTTATGTCCATGATCAATTACTTAGTTTGTTTTACTTATCATGAAAATCCTCATTCCGATAATTTCATACTAAAACATTCTGAGAAAACATAATGGCTTTCTCTACCCTTGATGTCATAAAAACAAACGATATAACTCTACTTGATGATGAGAACAATAAATATGAAGGCAAATCAGTTATTATTCAATATCCCGGTTATCGTATATTAATTATAGACACTGGATTATTAGAAAAACATAGAAAACCAAATGTTTTATCTACGTAAGTTTGATCATAATCATTTTTTTCTTCTTCATTTGTGTATATAAATAAATATGTATTTTTTTCTGATTTTCAATAATACAAGTCTATCAATCTACAAAATACTAAAAACTTATCAGTGTTTATGAAATTAGGTTTTATTACAAAATCAGCTGAAGTATTCTGTTAAGCACTGAGTCAGTTGAAAACCTACTGAATTTACCATAAGTCTTAAAGAAACACTAAAAAAATGGTGGAGAAGATTTGTTGCTCAGGTGTATGATTTTGTTGGAGTTTTGTTCTCTGAGCTGGATTATTTGGTCGTGGAGCATTCAAATCAAACCAATGGGAGATACAACTAAAACAAAAAAATAAACAATGACAGATTTAAGGTCAACAAGAACCAATCAACATTGAGGTTTACAGTACAAGCTGTGAACGACATGTGGAAAAATTCAAACACTTCACTTCTACCAGAAGTTTGTGCTGATGATGTCGTTCAGAAGGATGATGAAAGCTCCATGACCAAACCATTCAGCTCAGAGTATAAAACTCCATCAAAAACACCAAAAAGCAATAAGTTAGTATTTAATTGCTTTTTAAATAAATCAGAAATCAATCAAAGATATACCTTTATTTTAATTATTCCAATTATCTTTTTTCAATACAAAACTCATCTTACAGTTTAAACCAATTTACTTAGAATCTACGGATTCCAGCCATATCAAGAGTATGTGTTGTTTATTCAGAAGACTCATTGTGTACACCTTTTAAAATATCTTCAAATCATCCAGCAAAATATATTTCATCTAATTAGGTTCAAGTTAAATCATTAAATCATACGATAAGGAAACATAGTAATAATAATAGTAGTATGAAAAGCAATTTATTATACATTATCCTAGGCTGTTTATTTATAGTTCATCTTAAAATAGACTAACTTTAAAACAACAAAAGCCTTTATCATGAAAATGATATCAGCCAGAAAAGTAATAAAAACAAGAGTGTACTTAATCTCTTTGATAATGAAGCTTTGAACGTATTTAGATTATGCATTTACAACAGAATACCGTATCAAATATAAATTTTTCAGGTAATATTGTCATAAATTCAACTTATATATAACCAATTAGTAGAGTAACTAGGTTATAGAGCCCCCTAATGATAAGTTTATCTTATGCAGACAATATAATTAACTTCCGCCTGATCAATAACCCCAAGGACAAGAACCAACAACAACCGGATATCCTAACGCCTATTGTTCCATATAAATTTTTTCATCCTTCAGCGCTCAATCAGGATACGATAACAGAAAGCCGACTTACCTTCCATTATTGTGGATCAAAAACTCGCTTGATAATAGAGATTAATTATAAGATTATAAGAGTATAACTCACCATAGACAGAAAATCTCAATCTGTACATAATTAGGTCATTCCTAATACATGACGATAAAATATTTGTCAACAGCTAATGAATAAAAATAAACTTAGAATCAGTTCACTTAGTATTACTTGTTTGAATCTTCCCATTGATGTTTAGGACTGCAACTGGTCAGTCTCTAATTGGCATATGTGTATACTGTGCGTATTACCTCGATATAGCCTTAATTCACAAGCGTGGTAAGCAAAGATCAGTTTAATATAAAAATATTATTGGCTAAATATTAAATAAGTATACAACAGAATTAAAAATAATAATTCCTCATAAAATAAATTTCACATTTACACATATTCACTTATATCTAACAAAAAGCCCATTGATGAAATTGGTTGCTGGAAGGTTAACTTCAATGTACTAAGATTTCCTATTAGCTTCGTGCCTTTAAATAAACCAGCACATACACCAGAAAAGAGGGAAAGGGAAAACAGTATATCTTTCTGCCTAATTCTGGTCGTGTTTTATCTACAGCATAGACTATAATGACTGTTTTCGTACATTTTCTGGTTAGTATTCAATGTGATAAATCAAATAAGCAAATCATTTAAATTTGGCAAATAACTTATAATAAGGTCTCTTAGGAAGTACTTCAAAAGTTGACAGCATCAATACAGCATCCTGTTTTTCTTTGTACAGTACCAGCATTGACGAGTTATAGTTCCTCGTCCCAAAGAAATAAAACTAAAAATCTATTATTGAGCTATTATTAGATAACTAATTAACCATACCATTCTCGATAATTCAATTCATTACTGTTTGAATCTAAGTAGTATTAATGTACCATCTCCAAATATATATACATATGCATTTAAAACGAAACATTGAACTTGGAATAAAGTGAACGTAAATCATGCAGTGAATTTGTTGTCATTGATTAATTAGTTGTTTAAAAGTACTGATAATTATTATCCATGAAAAGATTATAGTTGTATAGTTTTGAAAATTTATTTGTTCAGCTAATTTTTTCATTCTATTTTTTCATCAAAAATAGGATGTTCACACTTATTAAATCACGAACTGATCCCAGCTAGACCACAATTGGAAATCTGGAAACACTGGACGGTCATATGGATGGTCTTGCTAAGAGTAGCTCTTAATTTAAACTGTGAACATTCTACAATCTTCCAAAATCCCCTAAACTAATGATAATCATGTACTCACTAGTAACTAGTTTGAAGACGTAAGTCCTGGAGATCGAATGAGACACCGTGATCGGTGGAGTTTAATCTGTGTCAGTTATTTACTCCAGGCAGTGGATGAGAGTTGTGCAATATCGTGGATTGATTGAAGTTAGACATTAACAATAAACGATCCTCTGTGCTAATAAAAATAGAGCTGATCTGGAATTTGATTAGAAATCAGCTAAAATCACTGAGAACTAATCAATATATTTCAAACTAAACTATCAGAGTCAACTTAACGAGGCAATGTTTCCTTCTTTATGTCAGTTGAATATGTAAAGTTAGTGGCGTTCTGGCCCCAATATCTTGGTATATAATTCTTTCGGCATCTGAAGCAAAATATATTGGGGTCGAATCTCGATATGTGTAGGTACACCCAGCTGATGAGTCCCAAACAAGACGAAACTGCAAGCTATAGTATATCTACTCATTAAAACTAATGATTAGTTAGCTATACTGAGATCATCTTCACAGGATTCGTATATACCAATCAAGACGAACATCGAAATTCAATCAAGAATGTTAAAAACAATGTAATTAATCCCTTTCTAACAATGATATATTTACAAGTGAAGTGGACTAGCAAAGATTAGTTATACCTAAGAAATATATATCAAATTTCCCCATTTAAGTTATTTCTATTGAAACTACGGTTACTTTTCCTTATCAGTTCAGTATTCAATATTTTTTTGTCATTGAATAAATTGAATTTTGTTAGACATCCATCAATTTATAGACAGTTCGATTGAATAATGAATAAGTAATTGACTTAGGTTCAATTAATTATCATTATATATATATATATATATATATATATATATATATATATATGTATAAATGGATCGATTGACTGTGTTTTTTTTAATTTCTACCTGGAAACTACAATATGTTAGGGTTTTTTTGGATTCTCAATAACTTAATCTTTATAATCATGTGAATGAAGATTTACTTAATATAGTTATCTATTATTTGAATCATACATATGACTTTTATTTGGAATTTATCAAGTATATATTGATCACCTTAATTAAATAATAAAGTGAAATGTGAATTCTACTAATTTAGTTTGAATACTCAATGTAAAACTAGATGGATCCTTAGATAAAGTCTTGAAAAGATACTTAATTCAATGATTTATCCATATGCTAATTGTTATATCAAGTGAGTACGTGCTCGCCCAGTTGATATATATGACGTTATAAGACCGCCAATTAGAGAGGAGTGAATTATCGATCACAGCAATGATGCACATAAACCATATGAGCAGTCTTGAGTACTTATCAGTCCTACTATCTGCCTAGCCCAACCAGTTAAGTCCAGAACATCGATAACAGCATCTGCAATACGAATCATTATTCTCAAACATACTAGGTTTATATACCAAACAAACTGACCACATCGTACCATAAAATAAAAAATAACATTTGTACAAGATTTGGTTAAATGTGGCTGTGGATAGGGGGAACAGTAATTAGTAGACTAGGGATGACTCAAGAATGGTACATTGTATAATAATAGTTCACAGTTCAAAATAAAGCTTATAATAAGAGGGACACGAATATGAATAGTTTAGTTACTTAACAATTCTACAATAGGAGATATACATATCATATTAGTCCATAAACAGTTCTCAAAGTTACCATTGATTAATCTCTACGGGATACAACACTAATTGACTTGATTTTTCGTTAACTTCAAGGTAGTGATCACGTTGGTGGTAATCCTTCAAACAATAAGCTAGTACTTCTTAGGTTAATAGCAAATAAAGAAATTTCCGTTTATTTCAAATACTTCAATAAAGCTTTCGAATAATTATACTTAGTATGTACATATATATTAATGCCGATAAATGTCTTACTGATTTTAAGAAATTTAGTTCTGTACTTTACTCTACTCTTAAAACAAATGAAATAAATTGTACACGTAAATTGACAGTTGTTTTAGCTATTATCATGCAATTACTGTACACGCAAATTGAAATTTCATGTTCTCTACTGTATTATCAAAAATTATAGATACACTTCATTTTGTTTGAGAACAGAAATTTAATGAAACGTAAACCCTCGCTTCAAGTATTTGCGTAATCAATTGCATTAAACGGTGTAACTTTTCCTTTATTAATTCTAACTGATGTGTGGGTGAGAATGATAATGATTGGTTGTTTCGTTGAGTCATACATTAGATAGGATGACAGGTGTTATATGTGTTATATATATTCCCCTATCCTTGTTATGTATTGACAGTTATTGATGGACTGTTATTGATTGACTGTTCCTTGTGTGGGGTTTTGGTGTGGAAATATATTGACGTTGTAGTCAGGCTAATCTCGTGTTCTTGATCTGAGTTGTGTTGAAGTCCTGTAGAATAGACACTGGGTGGGAATCTAGTGTAGATATTCGT